GGGGTGGAAACGCTCTTTCAGGTATATACAGGTGTGTGTGTGTGTGTGTGTGTGTGTATTCTTTTTTTTTCTATTGCTACTATCATCAGCCTACCACAGGCTACAGCCACCTTTTTATGCCTTAAACGTTACTGCTACTTGGTTATGCCAAATAGCTTGTTTTTTGTGTGGCGGCAGCTTTATAATTCGTATGAGTATTTCAGCATGATTTTACATGCATTTCAGGTGAGCAACAAAAGTGGTTTTACCTTGAGGTTGGGGTTTTTTAAGGCAAATCCTCTGTACCAGCCTGTAGAAAAATAATAATTGATATGTAAACTTACATTTTATCTGAAGAACTCTCTGACATATGTCATCTACAATAATAAAAAGTGGCAGATGGATTCATAGCGTGCTATTGTGTCAGCAGCAACACATAACACAAATCTCATACCCTTTAATGGGTCTTGTGCAGAAAGAAAAACGTTCACAATTGAAGTTTCCACCCACCCACCCCCACTCGTTTTTAACTAGCACAAACTAACACCCATTAAAAAAATATCAGAGAGTTGTAAACAACAGCACATAAATAAATAGATATCCTTTCAGCACTGGTATGAAAAGGAGAATCTGAAACATAGCAGTGGGTATGCATTTATATTTTCTTTGTCTAACAGACAGAAATTTAACCCATTACATCAAGAGAGAAAAGAACTCTAGTCTCATGGCCAGGGCTTTTATTCAGCCAAAACTCGCAGGAATTCAGTTTCGGCACTTCTCAGGTGGGAGCCATTGCCATGATAAGAGAACAAGGAAAGTGTTCATGGTAGGGTTGCCATATTTTGGCAAAGTTGTCGAGCTTTTTTTAATGGGTTGCCATAGGTCTGGATCTTCCCGGACTGCAGTGATTTTCGCCCAGACACTATTTGTGGCTGCTTGAATTCCAGCTATGTCCAGGAAGTTCCAAACGTATGGCAACCCTAGTTCCTTGTGATGTCTAGCACCTTTTTTCTAGGAAAATAGCACTGCTCATGGCATTTCTAAAGCTACACCTTTTTCCTGACAAGCACACATTTTTGGAATAATACAGTTTAGCATCCAGTATCACATGAGCGGTACTAGATGCTTTACCCAAATATTTTGGTGTTATTTTTTCTTACCTCTGCAGGAGGTGACTGACAATGTACAGTCATACCTCGGGTTACAGATGCTTCAGGTTGCATTTTTTTGGGTTACAGACCCGCCAAAACCCAGAAGTACCGGAAAGGGTTACTTCCGGGTTTCGGCGGTTGCGCATGCGCAGAAGCGCTAAATTGCACTTTGCACATGCGCAGAAGTGCTGAATTGCAACTTCCGTGTGCACAGACGTGCCGCTGCGGGTTGCAAACGTGCATCCCGCACGGATCACGTTTGCAACCCGAGTGTCCACTGTACTTGTTTATAATTTGGAGCAGTATCTAGATTTTGCTTTCATGGCTACTGAAAATGCCTACTGTAAATAATTATTTCCCCACTGACCATAGTTGATTTCTCCACAGTATCTGGGTGACTGGACTAATTCTGATATATTTTGGGCTAGAAACATTTAATTTTGTAGGCGGTTTCCTGTTACAACGGCATGTCCAAACTCTGTTGCCTTTTCTCATCGAAGATTAAAGTTGGTTTTTTCCCCATTAAATAGGCACTCATCTAGAGCAAACACACTGATCCTGCCTCAGTGTAATGAGGTGAAATGACCTTGGACAACCTTCCCACCAGACAGTCCTGTACTAATGTCAACACTTACCATCACATTTCTCCAGTATTTGAACAGTGTCTCCAATCTCCAGTGATAAGCCATGGGGAACTGCTCCTCGAAAACTTGCAATTACTGAAAGAGATATTAAATTCCAATTAAACATATATATACATTTAACAAGCCACATGTTTGCCATTAAACTTTCACTATAAGGAAAAGCATGGCCATTAATGAACTATTTTTTCTAAAACACATAGTAATATAAGATGTATTCATGGGCATAGCCAGGGGGGGCAGCTGCCCCCCTCAATAAAAATCAATAAAAATACATAGCTAACTGAGGTTCTGCCTCCCCATACAAAAGGCCTGCCCCCTCCCTCACAAAAATCCTAGCTACACCCATGGATGTATCTACTAAAAATATCAGATTATGGTTTTAGTGGGTAGGTGGCAAGAGCTTCTTTTTTCTTACTTTTACCCAATAAAAGAAAAAGGCGTTCCCTTAACAATAAGTAACAGAAACACGAGCAGTTTCTAGTATAAGGGGGGGGGGAGTCTCTTCATATCACTATGAATAGAGCTGCAAAAATATGCAGACAAATTCATAGTAAAATCTAGGGCTGTGCTTAGATACTTAATGGTCCCTTTATTATAAATCTAGATAAAACCTGTAGCAATTAGATAATGACAAAACATACTGAGTATGAGAAGGAATGTGTTTTATTTTGTATTTCTCTTTTGGGGATTTATTTATTTATTTTGCTGATTTTCAGGTGAGAAAAGGTATAGAAATCAGTGGGGGGTTTTAAGTGAAAAGGGGATTTTTTTTTCCCTTGCACCCCCACTAGGGATCTCAATTGCCACAATAGTTTAGGATGCCCCAACTCATGGTTGCAATTAGCCTTGCTAATTTCTGTGTTAATTTTTATTCTGATCCACTTCCCTTGGGCCAAGGTTTATGAGCTTTTTTCTTTTTGCAAAATCTCCCCCCAAACACTAAGTTTATGAGGTTTTTTGGGGGAAAATATACACTTCCAATATGGGCTGCCATGCACCTGGAATTTCCCAGACATTTTAAGCAATTTCTGAAAAATCTGCCTGGCTGTTGTTTTCGGAGAACGAATCCGGGATATGTCCGGAAAGTACTGGACGTATGGCAGCCCTATTTTTAAAGGACTAGCATGGGGTTTAAACGTGATTGTAGCAATCTTACGAGTCTCATAGAACTTTGTAAAGGCTAAACTAAAAAAAAGTAGGAGAGTGTGACTTTACAGGGTCATTCCTAAGATGAGGAGTACAAACGCTGAAAGGGACTGCTAGAGCATTTAAGTTCCCTGCAAAAGATCAGATACATGCTCTGAGAAGAAAGAGCCCCCCTTTTTACATGAATGTTTCAAAGGGACTTTACCTGCACTTCAGTTTTGTTTTCTAAAATGTGGACAAAAACAAATGTGTGGGTGGAGAAGGGAAAAGATAAGTATGTTAGACACTGGTAATCCATTTATCCTTTTTGATGTTAACCAGTGAGTACAGTAATACTGGTAAAGAAATATCAATTTGGGCCAAAACTTGCACTCTCCTCCATAATCTCTCAACTGAAATCAGCAACTGTAAGAAGCTCAATAGACAAAACTAAGGGTGCAACAAGAATGAAAGGAAATCCATCAGACTGGCTGAGAAAGCAAGACTCCAGTAAGGAGGAAGCAGCTGTGGAATTGCAGATGTGCACCGAGAATTACTTATCAGCCCAATCAAGGAACTGCAATGATCTTTCAAGTCCCAGCTACATGACAAATTGCCTTTAAAGTACCAGCTGCTCTCTCAAAGACACTGCTTGTGAGTTAAGTCCCACAATAGGAAAGAGGGGAGGAAGGAGGGCAGCGCACAAGGTCAATGGCGCCCTTAAACAGTAATCCTGAAGACACTTCCTCTGCAGCCTCCCGGTTGTGAGCTGTACAAAACAACTATCTTTACAAAATAGCCTTTCTAAAGGCGGAAATCATCCTGTCTCAGCAGAAGCAAGAGCCGTCTCAGCAGAAACCTAGCACGGCTGGAAGCAAACTTTTCTAGGCATTGCCAGTATTAAAACGATTGTCATTGTTATGTGTCTTGTTATGGATAATGGCAATCCGTACAGTGCATACGAACCCATGACATAAAGGGGCACCATTTCAAATTCCCACAGCAGCAGTGGTAGCAGAGGGGAAGGTTTGTTTAAGGACTCGCTCTTCAGTGTCAAACTGGAAAAATACAGGGGCTTGGGGTCTATGATAAGTCAGAAGGGAAGTTACCTATTCAGAAACTTCAGAAGGCTCTCCTGGACAATGTGGGAACAAGCACACTGGGCAGCAGAGGGGAAGGGAAATTTGCCTTCCATAAATCTCTTCCCAATCATTTAATATTACAATCGAAACTGGACTATTTTAGGAACATTTGGGGTTGTCCTTTGTACCCTTCATAACTTCAATTGTTGTGCGGTTATCAATGCAGAACTGTCAACACAATGGCCTGTTACAATTATGATTATTTGGAAAACAGAGGGATTCAAGGGTTCAGCATGAATTCAGCATGCATTCCATGCATTCCGCCCACTTAATTGTTCACAATACAGCAATCGTACAGTGGTACCTTGGTTTGCAACCGCTTTGGATTACAACCGTTTCGGATTACAACCACGTCAAACCCGGAAGTGTGTGTCCCCTTTTTTTGGATTGCAACCAAATTGGGGTGGGGAAGCCGCATTGGCGAAAGCGTACCTTCGGTTACAACCTGTTTGGTTTACAACCGGACCTCCGGAACGGATTATGGTTGTAAACCATGGTACCACTGTACGTCGAAACAGTTAAGTTGCTGAGAGATCCAGAGGAATAATCTCATGTGTTCTTAAACGTAGAAGAAACAACCTAAGCAGGCCCAGAACCACATTCTACATTCAGTGGGGCGCTGGAGTCAGTCTTGATCTGTTACACCTCCCCATCCACACTGTGTTTAATCAGCATACTTGGATTTAGGCCCTACCAATGAGATTAATCCATTATTTTATATTTTTATTTTGCAGTTGACAGAGCTTGTGAAGAGGAATCTCCATATGTACAAATAGGCTTATTTCATGCCTCATATTCTGTGAGTGGGCATGGTTCACTCTCTCACCCCACTGAGTTTAGATACACTCAGGGGATGGGGTTGGGGTGAACTGGTTCATGGAAATAGTAGAGTTGTTGATTTGGAAGGGACCCCGAGGGTCATCTAGTCCAACCCCCTGCAATGCAGGATTTTATTTTATTTTTGCCCGATGTGGGGCTCGAACCCACAACATTGAGCTCAAGAGTCTAATGCTTTACCAGCTGAGCTATCCTAGTCATATTCAGCATAGTAAACCTGCAAATTTTGTGGGGGTTACATTCCAGGAATGGCATCTAATGCCGAAATCATGTAAAGTCAAAACACATTGGGTTCCATAGCGGTTGCAATTGCCAACGTATTTTTTCCCGGATGCCCGTCCTCCCCCCCCTTTTTTTTATTTGCCAAGCATGTAAAGCTGGATGTGCATAAATTGTGGGCTTACTGTACTTTATATGCTCTTGATGAACAAGACCAAATAGGGGAGTCAAAGCATGTGGCACTATTAATGACCAAATAGACATTTGTATCTTTCACTTAGGGGTCTGTCCTCAGTGGCAGCAAACACGACAGATGTCAATACCAGCACAGGCTTCTAACATAAACAGTTCATCATAGCTTTGCACATGTCCCTCTAGAACAGGACTGGAGAATCTCTCTTCTCTCCCCCACACCTGTCAAGGACCACATTTCCACATGGTTAACCTATCAGGACTGCGTGATGGAGGTGTGTGAGGAACCAGGGTAAAGTGGATTGAGTTTGTGAAATGGACAGGGTTTTGAAACTAGGCCAGGGCCACAACTTCCTCACTTCTGCTTCAGAAGGAGTGAAACAGCAAAGTAAAATCCTGTTATTTTACTTTGCTGTAAATTTGTGTGTTGCAGAATACCTGTTCACACTTACAAACCTAATAATAATAATAATAATAATAATAATAATGGTTGGCATTATTATTATTTATGATTTCTTCCCCAGCCACTCTGGGCGGCTTCCAACAAAAGATTAAAACAACATTAAAACATCAGTCATTAAAAACTTCCCTAAACAGGGCTGAAATAATGCATCCCAGAAGATCAGAAGATTCCTGTGGTCTTACACTTGGGGGACTGCAAGTTTGTTAACTTTATAATGACCATGAGATATGCATGTGTATTTGTTAACAATGCTTATCCAAGCCTTTGGAGCATAGCTGCTCTTCCTGAATTGCTCAGTTGGTCGAGCATGAGACTCCTAATCTCAGGGTCTTGGATTCGAGTCCCACATTGGGCATTGCAAGGGGTTGGACTAAATGATTCTTGTAGTCCAAGTCTATGATTCGATGAAGGCATTAACCGCTGCAATCTTATTTATGCTTACCCGAGAAGAAGTCCCATAGGAATCATTGGGTGTCACTCCTGAATAGACATGTAAAGGATTGTGCTATCAATTTAATTTATCATTACTAAAATTCCTTCATGAAACACGGAAAAGTATTCTAATGTCGCAATAGTGCAATAAGAAGGAAATACAAACTCTGGGCTTTGCCCCACCCTTTGAAAGTGCATTCTGATTTATTTATTTTTAAAAATGTAAGACAGTGAGCAGTTGGAACATAATTAGCTACATTTACCCTTCCATACATTTTTACTATATAAACAAGCGCTGAATGTTTCGGGCTCCACTTCTTCTCTTTGCTTATATAAAAAAGCCAACTTGTCGCTAAGCAAGTAACGCATTTTATCTCTATCCATAGTGCCCTATGGCTTCATACAAGATGAAGACGATTTGGGCTTTTTGTTTTTGTTTTGTTTTTAAAGCAGATAAATCAAAACTACTCACACAGAGCTTTATGTTGATTTAACATAAAAGCTGGAATTATGCCAGCTATGGGCAGAGGTCACCCCTGGCTGAGAAACTTACTCTTCTTCCCTTCTCCCTCCCCATCCAACCTTCTGTTAGTGTTTGGATTTGCAAATACTGCTGGACACTGTTGCATGCTTCAAAAAGACTTCCAATTTTATTCTTCTTATTCTACTGCTGTGAATGACCCTGTCCATCTGTCAAGACTAATCCTGAACATCTGTACTGGGTTGGGTTGCCATATTTCAAGAGGGAAAAACCCAAAGCACCACCTTTCGGACATTCCCCCCAGACATCAATTCCGCCTTTGAAGTCCCGGTAATGTCTGGGGAAATCCAGACATATGGCAGCCCTATGTCTACTGGGATGCCTGTCTACAAGACCAACATGTTGTCACATTTAATGGAGTGTCATGTATTTGTTGGCGGTGCACGTTTTACCCTAGATTATCTGATATTATCTCATGGGCTGCAATCCTATATCCATTTACTTGGGACGCGGGTGGTGCTGTGGGTTAAACCACAGAGCCTAGGACTTGCCGATCAGAAGGTTGGTGGTTCGAATCCCCACGACGGGGTGAGCTCCCGTTGCTCGGTCCCTGCTCCTGCCAACCTAGCAGTTCGAAAGCACATCAAAGTGCAAGTAGATAAATAGGTACCGCTCCGGCAGGAAGGTAAACGGCGTTTTTGTGTTATGCTCTGGTTCGCCAGAAGCGGCTCAGTCATGCTGGCCACATGACCCGGAAGCTGTACGCCGGCTCCCTCGGCCAATAAAGCGAGATGAGCGCCGCAACCCCAGAGTCATCCACGACTGGACCTATGGTCAGGGGTCCCTTTGCCTTTTTAAGTCCCATTGAACACAATGGTACTTCTTCCTGAGTGGCCATGCTTAAGACTGAGCCGTAGGTTTCCTGATGGCGCATGAGCATATATGAGAAAAAGGGAATGAAGTTAAACTCCATTTATATTGTATGTAACCCGCCAAGTTAAAAGGGGAGAAGTGCTATGGTCCAGAATGGTTTAACACAAAAATGAGGTGGAAGAAAGCTACAAAACTTCCCGAAACACAGGCAACAAAAGAGCGTAGGCACATTTGCAGAAAGAGGCACCCTGTCAAAAGTGATAGAACAAAGAATGAAATAAGAGTCTTTTTATTTGATCCAGCACATTCACGAACTTTGCTGCAAAATACAGATAGAATTCTAAGAGAGGCCTTGTGCCAAGGTCAGTTTCAATACAGCTAAGCCCATGTGCCTGGCAGAATTACTCAAAAGAAGGCAGAAGGGCATAGCAGAAAGCAAAGGTGGCATCAGGCAACTGTGAAAGTAGACCAGATAGCCACAAATCCAGTTGGCAGCCTCCTGGCAAACAAGACACCCAGAACTGCATGGATCCTTATCCTAGATAACCTGTTTTCTACGGCACTTTTCAAGCAGTGGGAAGCTTTCCAGAAGCTGTCAAGGTGAGAGCATAAATTGCAAGCTTGGGAGAAAGGTACGGCTTGCCAGACAATGCAAGGTTCATTGGCGGCTACAAATAATGGCTAGCTCAATACCAATTACACCAGGATTTATGGAAGGGAAGATAGGCTTCCAAAAATGCTATACTAATTATGTTTATTGGTACCCAATAAGGAAGGGTTCCCTTGCAGCACTCCTGGTTCCTGACAGTTTCCTATGAGCCAGTCTTAACCCTGACTTAATCTGGAGACACAACTTTGGATGGCAATACCAAATCCACATGCATTTGCACACAGCTCACAACAGATGATGTTCACAATGGAAGTTCTTCATATTTCAGATTTATATACTCAGTTCTTATAGGTAGATCAGCAGTGAGCAAGCAAAGGTTCCATCCAACTTGGCGCAATGAAGGAAGGCTCATGAATCTCCAAAAGAATTATTCTCAAGCAGCCATAGATTTAATTACAGTACATGAAAACATTTCTGTCTCATTTTAAAATGGGTTGTGGGTGGGCAGAGAAAACACGGTGGAGAATGAAGAATTTTTTAAAAAACAACCCACTAAATATTGGTCAATAGTGTAATTTATTTAAGAGGTATGTTTGTGAGGGGCGAGAGAACATTAATGGCAATTGGAATTATTTTATTGTTCCCCAATGAGAAATGAGGCACTTAAACTTCACTTGCGCAATGATCTAATTATGGAGTTTATTTCAGAGTAATATAAAAAGAATGACCCTTTAATTACATACCATACAGCAGACAGCTGGAACAATCAGGGTGCCCAGGTCTGTTTAATACCACTTTGAAAAAGTGAGTGCTATTTCCAGTATATATTCACGCACGTACAGAGAGCAATAAAGTCTTGCGCGACCTGAAAATACTACCCCACCACGCACGCAAATTAACAAATCTATGCGAAGTAGCATAAGCCTAACACCAAATACCTTCGTCACAGAGCGCTATAGTATTCTATCAATGAACAGGATAGCTGCAGAAGTCTGTTCTCATTAAACAGCATGAGCCCAGCTGATAAATCTCATATGCATTGTGAGAGAAAGCCCCATAGCAAATGTCCAAGTTAACAGTGCGCACGTTTCTTTCCTTCATAATAGAACAAAGTTAAAGACTCAAATGCCTGCTAGCTTCTGGATATAATAAAAGTTAATGACGCTTTCCTCAGCATTCATAATCTTTCTAAGGTTTAACTGCCTTTCATTGCAGCAAGACGACAACGATCACACTGTGTGTGCATGACAATACTGCAGTGTAAATCTGACATAACATATGTTGCCTTCTGAGCATCTTTTGGGTGGTGGGGATTGGTTCTAGGTTTTACCCATGAAAAGCACAACTCCCATTTCTTTATTTTTTCAGGCACCAAAGTTCCTTTATAGAATAAATGAAAGCGAACTAGTTTGTTTCCCCCCCCCAAAAAAAACCTTCTAAAATTGATTTCTGTACATTGACTAGCTGTCAGATATTGACCAAATGCTTCATACTGCCATTATAAATCTAATTGTTTTTGGTAATATTTAATATGTGGCATGCGCTGACCAGAGAACCTTTAAAAAAAAAGTATAGAAATGTTGCACTTCATTGAAATAGAACACTATTTAGTATGAGATGGATGGCAAGCAATGCTACTTAGGCTTTTTTGGCAATGGTTGACACCTGAAAAAATCACAGTAGTAAAGAGACAATTTGAATTTCAAGATAATAAGTTGTTACTGAAAATTCAAATTTTACAGGCAAAATCTGGATGCGTCAAAATGAAAATTGTGCAAACTTTCACACTGTTGCCAATACTCATTTCAGCTCTAAATTACACTTAATACTACAGCATCAGGATAGTCCTTATTGATTTCGTATCATGTCTGCTTTTTGAGACACAATTGGGCAATCACAATCTTATATTATTGATTCCTACCTTGCTTTTAAGAGTACAGCATTCTGTAAAGCAACTTTCTCATTCCACCTCACAACACCTCTGTGAGGTAGGTCATTAATAATTCCATTTTACAGACTAGGAAATGAGATGAAGATAGAATAAGTTGCCCAAGGCTATCCAGAGAATTCACGACTAGGCAAGAAAAGCAGCAGTCCAATGCTACAAATGGAATTATACTACTTTTTGGTTAAAAGGGGGGGGGGACAACAATCAAACTGACACAATGGAAGCCTCTCTTTAGTAATTCAAGTACAAATGATCAGCTGCACAAAAGCACCCACTTATTACAGTTATTGGCAACGTTGGGGCCACACTAAAAATTATTTTACACTAAAAAATATTTTATAACCCCTTATCTGAGAAAGGTTCTCAAGAGGGTGGTGGCAGTCTAGATTCAGGAAGGCATGCTTGGAGGAGACTAGATATCTGCATCCATTACTGTGTACAGTCGTACCTTGCTTCTCAAATTTAATCCATTCCAGGAGTCTGTTCAAAACAGTTCGGAAGCCAAGGCGCGGCTTCCGATTGGCTGCAGGAGCTTCCTGCAGCCAATCAGAAGTTACGTTGGATGTTTGGCTTCCAAAAAATGTTTGCAAACTGGAATACTCACTTCCGGGTTTGCGGGGTTCAGGAGCTGATTTGTTCAACAACTAAGGTGTTCAACTACCAAGGTACGACTGTAGTTTCAGGCTTGGTCATGGCACTGAAACTTCCTTGGTCACCCTGGCTGATGATATTTGTCGGGAGACCAGAATGAGGGAGTGCAAATCTGCTTGTTCTTCTTGACCTCTTGGCCATTTTTGATACCATTGACCACGGTATCCTTGAGGGAGTTTGGCGTTGGGGCGGCGGCGGCGGCATTTTGCTTCAGTGGTTCTGTTCCTGCCTCCAGGGATGAAAGGCGGCATACAAATTTAATAATAAACAAACAAGCAAATGTTATACAACCAGGTTCACGAGCCCCGCTAGTTGCCTCTCTGATAAGGTTTTGACAAAGGTTTCCAGGCTCTGGCTCCA